GAAGAGCGCAACCGCTGGCCGATGCGCATGCCGCAACTCCTTCAGCTCGAAAAAGACCACCACGCTGCAGCCCGGATCACTCCAGGGATGACCCACCAAACCAGCTTGAAACGGCAGTTGGAAGTGCACCAGGATGACCTGGAGAGGTCCATCTGTGCCACACAAGTGGGTATGTGGACACAAAACAGGCAAGTCATCACCGATCAGTTTGGGTTGCACAACACCAAGTCCTCATGGTTCGCAACAACTCAAATGTCTGATTAGTAGGAGTCCTATGTGTGGCAGCTGGCTTGTGGAACCACATTGCGACTGCTGATTGGTTTGCGATTGACTGGCAAATTGTCAGCGTACAAATGTATGCCATGGAATGTGCCTGAGTTTCAGCATCTTCTTCTTTTTCTTAGCTTCTTCCTGCCAAGGCCACTCACAGGCCAACTGGGATTAACACTGACTCATATTTGGGACTGCTCACCTGCCTCAAGTCCCCGCTCTCCGGCCTTGGGCAAGCCCAAAGGCCCGAAGCCCTTCACGCAAAGGCCTCGACAGTGCAACAGTCCTAAGTCTTTGCAACTGACCGTAACTACCCAACCTTTCTCACGTTCTCAGTCGGCTCTCAGACTGGGCCAAACATCCAAGATGAGATTAGGCCAATACGGTAGCCCACACCACATTCACACTGATCACTGATGGGCAAGCACAGTAGCGTTCTGAGAGAGACCAAGTCGTAAGCAACCTCCACGATTTGCCAGACCCCACAGGCCAGATTCAGAGAGTTTGGGAAGCAAAAGTCTAGCGCTTGCCAAACGAAACACGCGAACTGCAAAACAGAGCGGCCGAATTTGCCCACGTCGGGCGCCTTCCGTGCAGCTCCGCAGCTGGCATGGGCCCTGCAACCAAATCACTCAAATCCTGTGGTGCCCTTGCAGCAAGTTGTGGAATAGCAGCCACCAAGAGAAAAGCGCGAAAGCTTTCCTCGCCAGCCGACTGACACCGAGTCTTTTGTTGGACCTATCACTAGGTCCAATCTAACACGCCAGCATCACTTCATAGACACCCCTTCCAACGCGGAAAACGTCCGTAGAAAGAGATAAACTCCATGGAAGGGTTCGCAGAGAGAGGCTCTGATGGCCTCAAAGACCTCCACGCCGGTGCAGCGGTAAAGCGCCTCGCGCGCCGGCACCTTGTGCCGCAGCTTCAAGTACTGCGGGCCCCGCAGCCGGAAGAGCCGAACCTCCTGCGGTCGGGAAAAAACAAGTGCCGAACGGGGAGGGGGGAGGTGACTGGAGCCAAAAAATCGTCGGGAAACAACTGTCTTACCCTTCATGGTTTGGGTTGGAAATTGGTGGTTGGCTTTGGAGGCGAAGGGGAGCACATCCCACGGCTAAAGCACTGATTCAAGGTTAGCTATCTGAACAAAAAGCCCCAGCCTCCTGATGCCCTCATGCCCTCTGCTTTTGTTGCACCTAAAAGGAATACCAATCCCGCCATGCAGCTCAGCTATTCAAATCCAAACAGCCCTATGCGGAAAGACAACTGCGGAAGACGTTTGGTCCGAACGCGCCTTGTTGGAAGATTTGAAGCGAAAACTGATCGGCCCCTTCCAGCGCCCCCCGCCCCCCAACTCCCAGCCCTTTCCGATGTTCGTCCCCTTTTCCATGCATTCTGTCCCCGTCGGCCCAGCCGTGCAAGCCGGGACCCGGCTCGGGCCCGAGGCTTTGCAGGCGCTGGCGCACCCAGGCAGCCGCCTTGTGACCGGAAACCCGGCCAAAGAAAGAAAGAAAAGGAAGAAAGGCAAGAAGGCAGGAAGGCAGGAAGGAAGTGACTGATTCGGCGGGATTTGCATGAGAGCCAAACAGGGATGATTAAGCTGACCAGCTCTGACTTTCTTTTGCGTCTACAATGTGCTTGCTCCCAGGCTGGAGGTACAGTGCCCAGCCAAAGGCATGACTCCGCAAGTGGCGCCGTGGAAATCAAGCCACGACAAGACAACAGTTGCGACAAAAAATGCCAAACAAGGAATGGCCTTGAAGCCAATTGGGAGCTGTGGCTGAAGCTCTTCGCCCGTAAGGGCGAACAGCAACGACTTGGAACATGCCACAGCTTCCATGCCATCTCTCCGGTATACTACCCAGGTGCCCAAATCGCTCTGTGGAAGCACGTGAATGAGTCTGCCATTGTTTGTGGTTGTTGTGTAGCGTATGCTATGCTAGGCATTTTGAAGTTGCTCTAATTCTGAGCTACACCAAGCTCCACGCGGGTTGGAGGTTCCCGCTGCATTTCGGCTTCGCCTGCAGGGCTCTGCAAGGCGAGGCGAAAGCATGAATACATTCACCTCGGCTGCAACCTGTTACCCACTTACAATTTCAAAGCATTCTGACTGAATCTCAACAAACGTATTGGGCGATGCGACCCTGGCCTGCGGCGACCAGATTCGCTCCCAACAGCTGAAGCAACTCATGCCATACAGTCATGGCTTCTGTAGCTACTATCGGAGATGCCTATACTCCTTGCAAGTCCAAGCATTCCTGATAACATTTGAGTCACGACAGCGCTGGATCTACTAATGAAACAGCTGGTTTGTCGCTGTTGTACAATCGATTCGCATGTGGCATGTTGTTGTGGCAAATTGGCCGTTGTGCTGCATGCCTAAAGCTGCCAGCTTCCGGCATCTGAACACGAAATGTGGCGAAAGAGTGTGGCCCTATCTGACCTAGCATTGGCGCGTGTGCATACGGAACATTCCTGCTGTCGCATTTGCTTTCGCAACAGCAACAACTCACTCACTAAAAAATGCAGCAGTTCTGCAAAGTTCAATTAAGCAATCCGTAAATCAAAATAAACACTTGCATGCCCCGGCAAAACCTACTCAAGCAACAAATTCAATCACTGATGGAACAAAGATGGCATAACTGCATCTGAATGGACTGGCAGCAGCCAAAGGTAAAATGACACATGCGCCAGAGCCGAGAACAAGGCATTCCCGTTGACCTGCGCCAGCGACAACGGTCTAGGAACACGCATCACTCCCCCAAAAAGAGGCCCTGACAGCGGCACGGACCATCCCATTGGGTCATACCAGCCACGCGGCATGTAAAAGGACACAGCGCTTGTAGTCAGGGCATCGGCACATGTTGGAAACCTGTTCACTTCAAGCCCAAAAACATTGCACGGAAAACAAGCCAAGACCCAGTTGTTTCCTGGCATTGTTCAGAAGTGCAGGAGCGTGTTCGACTCATGTATGTTTGCTGGAGCTAGAAAGGCCTTGTTGGCGAGCACGGCCAAGAAGCGCGAATGAAGCACCAACCAGGACAAAGATGCGCCCCGACAGGGCAATGCCATAGAAGAGAGACAGAGCGGCCGAAACGGAGAGAGACAGATCCAATCGGGCGAGCCAAATCCCGAAGCTCCAAAACAAAAACGACAAGAAGAGCCAGCGAGGGACGCAGCCCATTCGGAGCCAACAAGGGACCCAGAAGATCCAAAAGTTAGAAGCCTGTTCACTGCTTCAAGCCAAGAGGAAACAGCCATGAAAAGGGAAGCCCGACCGACCCAAACACGCTCCGCACAGGTGTTGCTCAGAAGTTCTGGCTCGGAGGTGCAGGATGACACCGTGCCAGTCGTTGATAATATGGCCTGCGTTGTCTTACATTTTCTGCGACAGCGGAGCACGGCCCTTTGCTTCTTTAGCTTTCCGTTGGATACTTGTCTTAACCACTTATCAAGAACTTGAGCCAAAGCATCCATATGCATGAGTCGGCTGTTTACACAACAACATCCCCGCAAAGGTTCGAAGGACCTTAAAGGAGGGGAAGAGAACAAGGTGACCCTCAGAACCTGCCCTTGGGATTTTAGCCTGTTGCCCGGACACTCCCATCCTGGGTTCGGGTTCATCCGGGGTCAGGAACCATCCACAAACAGACGCCGACACGCATCAACGGTTTTTCTTATTCAATTCTGTGAAACGTCTCTGTCTTCTCCTCTGCAAATCACGCTCAGTCCTCCTCCTCAAATCTGCCCGATCTTCAACTTGCCGCATCACGAATTCCGAGAAGGACTACGGATCTTTCCACCTCCAGCCCAGTGACCGCCTCTCCTGGGAATAAGAATTTCCATGAGACGGATCTTTCCACCTCCAGCCCAGCCCAGTGACCGCTCCTGGGAATAAGAATGGATCTTTCCACCTCCAGCCCGGTCTCCTGTAAATAAGAATTTCCATGAAACGGATCTTTCCACCTCCAGCCCAGTGACCGCCTCCCTGGGAATAGGAAAATCCCCAAGACGGATCTTTCCACCTCCAGCCCAGCGACCGCCTCTCCTGACAATAAGAATTTCCATGAGACGGATCTGTCCACCTCCAGCCCAGTGACCGCCTCTCCTGGGAGTAGGAAAATCCCCAAGACGGATCTTTCCACCTCCAGCCCAGTGACCGCCTCTCCTGGAAACAAGAATTTCCATGAGACGGATCTTTCCACCTCCAGCCCAGTGACCGCCTCTCCTGGGAATAAGAATTTCCATGAGACGGATCTTTCCACCTCCAGCCCGGCGAGCGAGAACAAAAAAATCTATCCTGGTCCGAGACGGATCGCCGAGAGACGGATCTTATTGCCTCCAGCCCGATAACCGCCTCTCCTGAGAATAAAAAAATCTATCCTGGTCCGAGACGGATCATCGCCGAGAGACGGATCTTATTGCCTCCAGCCCGGTGATGAGCGCCTCTCCTGAGAATAAAAAATCTATCCTGGTCCGAGAGACGGATCTTATTTGCCTCCAGCCCAGTGAGCGCCTCTCCTTAGAAAATTCTTTCTTATAAGAAAATGATCCTCGGTTCAGTCCGGGATGCTCAGCCGATCCGCAAGCTCTGCCGTGGCCGCACTCGCAATCTCCTCGCACAGCGCCGTAGGAACGCTGTAAAGCAGCTCGCGCGACTGCCCTCTGACCCTCTCACGCTGGCCCCCCATGAGTCAAGGCCGCCCCTCAGATGCCTCCCGTCTTCCCACGCCTCGCACCGCACAGCCCTCGACTCGGCCTCCAGCGCATGTTGGTCCACAGCCTGGTCTCGTACTTGCAGTAGGTAACGTCCACCCAGGGCAGGCGCTCCATGAACGGTCGGGTCTTCAGCAGCCCGGTGGCAGGATTCGATGACCCACATGAGCGGGTCGAAGTGCGCCATGATCTCAAGGGCTCTGAGCACCAGCGCGTCGCCCTCCTCAAGTCGTCGAGGGCGCATCGTCAGAGCTCGGCTGTACTCCGTGCAGACCGGGCTGCCCCGGCGGAAACAGCTCGTAGTCCCAGCTCGCTGACACGATGTCCAGGGAGACGACTTCCCAGCCCGCCGCCTCGAAGGCTCGGCCAATCGACTTTGTGCCGCAAAACAGCTCCAGCAGTCTCGGCATGTTTAATAATCACCACCAGCACGACTAAGCACGCACAGGCGACGGCGCGGCTCAAGCAGTTTCGCATGCTCGGACCAACCTTTTTTTAATCGGAGACAGAAAAGGATGACAAGCCAGACAAGCGTGTGGAACTTGGGCGAGGTGCGCTCCAATGCTAAGGGTGGCAAGTTCTTGAGCCTGGAGCCGCTGTTTTGGCAGAGCGAAGCTTCGCTGGAAATCCCATGGGAGCCCAGGGCTTTTTCCGAGGGCCAGCGCCCCAGCGTGAGCTTCGCAACCGACGGCCGCACGAGGCTCTTCTGGGAGCGGGCCGAGACCTATCTGATAGAGCAGCTGGCGGCCGCGTCCGAGCGCGTCTTCGACGCGAAGCTCACCCCCGAGGCAGTGCGCCAGCGGCTGCTGCCCTCCGTGAGGCAATCGCGCGGCGGCGATTGGATGCTGAAGGCCAAGCTGCCTGCCCACGCGCGCTTCTGGAACGCTGGCGGCACGTTTGCGGACCATCCTGCAGAGCTGGCCCACTGCGCCGCGCGCGTTCGGCTGAGAGCGCGCAGCTTGTGGTTGATGAGCGGTTCTCAGGCCGTTCCACCTCCATGAACATCTATCACTGGGCTTGGCCAGCCGCTGATAAACTGTTCATATGGCGCAATGTCAAAACGGCCAGCTTGGCTTGAAATGTAAAGATCTGGTCATTTGGCTCCTTTCTGGGCTTGGCCTGCCGCTGATAAACTGCTCATATGGCGCAACGCCGAAGCAGCCAGCCTGGCTTGACATGTAAAGATCTGGTCATTTGGCTCCTTTCTGGGCTTAGCCAGCCGCTGATAAACTTTTCATATGACACAATGTCAAAACGGCCAGCTTGGCTTGAAATGTAAAGATCTGGTCATTTGGCTCCTTTCTGGGCTTGGCCAGCCGCTGATAAACTGTTCATACGGCGCGATGTAAAAATAGCCGAAATCCTTGTTTGAAATGTAAGTTATTTGTCTCTCCTCTTTATCTTGAATCTAGGGTCTTCTGATCTCTCCAATCGCTTTCTCATTCTCCAGTACCTCATGCACAATTCGCTCCAAACGCTCTTCCAGAAGGAGCCACATTCTCTTTCCAATCCAGAAGAAAATGCAAATACCACATATCATTGCCACAAAAACTGAAATGCACAAACATGTGTAAAATCCAGTCCACCACCACACATGTTGCTCGTTCTCCATCACCACATTTACTGCTTCAATTCCACGTCCTCCACCCAACAACTGCACAATCAATAGTGCTTGTCAACACTTCTTCTTGCCAATATTTGAACCAAATTCACCACACGGTTCACATGTTCCTTCCTTCTCGAACAAATATGCGTCTGTTTCAGGCATGTTGCACTGCTTCTATCTTGAACCCAAACAAGACCCCAAAAGAACAAAGCAAGTCCAAAGCGGCCGCAGTTCTTTCAACCGGGATTGCTGAAAGTAGCACTCACGGCTGCGCCTGGAGCAGGAGGTGCAGTGACCCCCCGTGAAACTTAAAGGCAAGACAATGCGTGTCCTTGCAAATGCGTGCAGTGCGTGCATGGCGTGGCAGGCGTGCCCACGCCGGTCCGGAGACCGAGTGGTCTTGAGACCGTGAGCGGTCGGAGACCGAGAGGTCCGGAGACCTGAACCGAAGTGGAGCGTCTGCCCAGTGCAGAGCCTTGTACAAGGCAGTGCAGGGTGGGTGGGTGGGTCTTAAATGAAACAGCAAGTTTTCGGTCAAGGCTAGAAGGAAAACGGCCACCGCGAAGGTGGATTCACAACATGTCCTGAACACAAGAAAAAAGAAAACCAGGCATGTTGCACTGCTCCGACGCTGCTGTGAGGCCAGCTCGGCGGTGACTCGGTCGTCCAGGGACTGGATGGCGCTGCCGTGTTCACTCCGATTGATGCGCTCTCAATCGCCAACATCGCCCTGGCAACCAGAATACCTGGCTGCGTCGGCCGGCAGCTTGACATCAGCTTTGACCAAAAAAAGAGCGGTCCCTGAGCAACAGGATGCTCACGACCAAGCGGCAATGTCATGCAACTGCCCTGCCAGGTACAACCCCACTCTGAAGGGGGTGATGAGGCCGGCCCAGCTGGCTCGCTTATGC